ATGTACATTCTTTGTAAATTATGTACATTCTTTGTAAATTAACAGGGTTGCATCAGAGAAATACCCGACTCCATTGCCATTTTCTCCTCCTAATGGAAACAACTTGAAAGATCATGAATTCTGACTCTCGTTAAAAGGGGTAACACTGGACGTAAATCCCAGACTGAGATTTGGAGACCCAATTCTGGTTAGTTTGAATGGGAATTGGACAGCCAACTGCCCAAGGAAACTGTGAAAATCTCCTCTCAGATCTTTCCTTCAAGCCATCACCGACCTTCCTGGTATCTGTTTTCTAGCTGGAACCAAACCCAACCCCAAGGTCTGAATCACTGCAGAACTTTGAGGAAGTTGGGATCTGGAGCAAAATCCAAATCCAGGTTTTTCAGTTAGCTCGTGTCATCTCTACAATGGAATTAATCAAAACCCTGGAGCCGAACTCCGGGGATGTTTGACTTTGTGGCTGATGTAAATTTAAAAAGTATGGTGAGCTGGCCTCTAGCCAGAGTAGAGTGGGGAGCAATCATGAGGCAATAGATCTTCTTGTCCTTCTGGTCTATGTGCTTGTGATACGTTGTTTCATATCTCTGGCATCCTCATGTGAACAATAATCACTAATTAGGTGGTGTGGTCAAGTGGGTAGGGCGCTGGGTTGAGAATCAGGAGAGCTGGATTCTATTCTCGGCCCTGCTGTTTGGATGACGTTGGGTGAATCACTTTGACTCTCTGTGCCTCAGTTTCTCCTCCTAACCTTTATTTGTCTTGTCAATTAATCTGCAGGCACTTCGGGTTCCTCACTCTGGGGCTGTACACTTCCAAGCACAGTAGGCACCTGAGCTGGGTTTCAAGGCTACTGCGATACAAATCATAATCTTTTAAATGACTTTTGGTGGCACCTCCTCCAAGTGAAACTAACGTGAAATCATAAAGAAAGCAAAGGCCAATGAGTGTACCAGAGGGGGATGCTCCTACCCGCACCCAGCAAATCACCCCCAAACTATCCAGTACAATCCTGCATCCTGCTCTAATACCTCCCCAAACCAGTCAGTCATAACCCCATAGCCCTCTGGGGTGGAGCTGCAGGTGCTCAGCGCCTCTGAACCTTAGGCTGTTGGGGTCTGGCTGGGTTCCCCCAAAACTGAGGGACCCAGAACCACTAGGCACTTTGGAAAATGCTGACTTTATTCTCGCCTTACAATTTCCCTTTCTTTCCAGCATTCAACTGACTCTCTCTTCCTCACCTACTGTGGGCCCAAAATCATCCCTGGGCTAATTCAAATCACTGCTTTTACCCCAGGGGTGAATGTGACTCACTTGTGATCATATTTAGCGGCTATAGGGGAGTTTATGTTTCAAAGCGCTGTGCAGTCATTTGCTAATTAAAGTTAATGATCCACGTTGTGACACTGGCTCTAATGGAACGACACCAGGGACAGGAATTGGAATTATGTAGCGCTCCAGATGCCTGAGACAGCTCCAGATGCAAATGTTTCTTATTATCCATTTCATAAGAATGCCATAGTAGGTCAGAGCAACAATCCATCTAGCCCACTATCCTGTCTCCGACATAGGCCAGTACCAGAGCGTCAGGGGGAGTGTACAAAACAGAGTAATTTGGGGAGATCTACCCCGTCTTCCCCTCCTGGCTTCTGGCAGTCAGACATTTAGGGTCACCCTGAGCATGAGGTTATATCCCTGACCATCTCTTGGCTAATAGCCATTGATGGACCTATCCTCCTGGAATTTATCCAGTTCTTTTTGGAACCCAGTTATACGTTTGGTCATCACAACATCCCATAGCAATGAGTTCCACAGGTTAACTGTGTTTTGTATGATGAAATACTTCCTCTTGTTTGTAATAAACCTGCTGCCTATTAATTTCATCAGGTGACCCCTGGTTTTTGTAGTGTGGGAAAGGGTAAATAACACTTCTCTGTTCACTTTGTCCACATAATTCATGATTTTATAGACCGCTATCACAGCCCTCTTATTTCCAGTTCAAAATAACCCAGTTCCCTAGATATGGGGTGCAATCCTGCAAAGTGTTAACACCCCCAGCCCCCACTGCCGCCCGTGAAAGCAGGCAGCATCTTGCAGGACCCATCCAGAAGCCTGCAGTTTCACGCATTTAGGGCCTGATCCAAAGGGTCAATGAGTTAGTTTCAAAGGGCTTTGGATCAGGGCTTTATTCCGTGCTTTCCCCCTCCGCTTCCCACACACTGCCTGGAGAAATAGGTCTGTCAAGCGGTGCCAATTTCAGAGAGGTTTGGAAAATCAAATCAAAGCAAACCCACACAAGTGAGCTTCCGCATCTCCCTTTGCAACACACAGAGCAAAACCCTGCGCGGCACGAGGCGGGTGTTGTAAAAGCTGCCTTGGAATGAATCCGGAACCACCATACCAGTCTCTACCCACGCTGTGCCAGCCAGCACTGGTGTAATAGCCCCAACGGTACAAGCAACACCACCCACCCACAGCACCATGGTGACTCGCTTCGGCGTGCCTTTGGGTGTATGACCTGTACTCTGCTGGCTGGTACAAATAGCACTGCTCCTCTTCAGTCCCGCCCCTCGCAGAGCTCAGCTCTGCACTGGTTTGTCAGCAGCGGTATCGCCAACCCCAAATGGTCAGCAATTGCGAGTCAGGCTCACCAAAAAATCCTGAGATTGGCTTTGAAGTCATGAGATTATGTAAAAAGACTAGCTTTGGTGTTCTTTTTATTCGCCTGCAGCTTTTTGAGCCTTTATGGTGCACTGGGGTCACATTCGGATGCTTTCTCCGCAGCCACGAGGGCTAGAATGAAGGCGGAAATCACCACATTTCCACTTGACTCCAGGAGCTGGGGCTTTAGGGAAAACAATAATTATCATGAGACTCATGACAAAAGCCTGAGAGTTGGCAACACTGCTTCTGCAGCATCACGAATGCCCTGCGACGGGCTTCTTTGTCAGTGTGTCTCTGATGAATGCTTCCAATGGGAATGAGATACTTTAAAAGCTGCCACCATGGCCCCCATTTCTAATCTGTACAGGGAGAAGCCTAGAGAAGTTGGGAAAACCAAAGGTTGTTTTGGAGCGCTGTTCATGTGCTTGAAACACAGAAAGAAACACCAGACATCCAGTGCTATATGCATCGGTCTGTACATACGTACCGGAACCCTATGGCCTTGAGTCAGCAAACACTTACTTAAGGAGCAGAGGTTTAAGCATGTGCTTAAATGCTTTGCTGGGCTTGAGCCTCTATGAAGATTAAGCTACAATCCTTCCTTAGTTCTCCCTTCTTCCGCAGCGTTTACAAGCTCAGTAAAATTGCTGCCACCACCCACGACACAAAAAGCACAAACTGCTCCGGACAGAACCAGTGCCGGCACCTCCGGTGCGACTCCGAATAGCTACTGGAGGTGACTGCACAAGAAACTCAGTTTTCTAGCCCTCAAGTAGGGTCACCAACAGTCCCTTATTACAAGGCATGTCCCTTATTGTTTCATCTCTGTACAAGAAGATTGGGAGTTACTGAATGCTGCAAAAAGCGGCAAGTAATACCCTGCCGAATGTAGGCGAGTGCTGCTTAGTATTATGATGATGATGATGATGATGATAACTTAGCCACCATATGAGTGCGACCCTGGCATTTCAGAGCATAGGCCAGAGGTTCTCAACAGGACTCCGGGGGGACAGCGAGCAGGTTTCAGGGGGTCCTCCAAATAAACCAGAAAGCAAGGCCAGCATTAGACTCACCGCAGTCCAGGGCAGAAAGCTGAAGCCCAAGCACCTTAGCTTCGTGGGGCCCCCTGTGGTGTCATCCCAAGCAATTGCCCTGCTCGCAACCCCTTAACTCCGCCTCTGGCTTTTAATCTACTGGATATGCAGAAAAACAGTTGCTGTGGCACTGGTGGGCCACAGAGTTTTTATAGCCTGTTAAGGGGTCTCAGAAAGAAAAAGGTTGAGCAAATCAGGCCTAGACCATCGCAGTCTTCTGCTTAGCATGCTCAGCGTAAGTGACAGAAGAGGAAGCCGTGCTTCAGAGGGAATGACCAGAACTGGGCAATTTTCAAATGATCCATCCCCCGTCACTGTCGGCCAGTCCCAGCTTTTGGCAATCGGAGGTTTAGGAGCACTCAGAGCATGGGTCCCTGACCATCTTGGCTAATGGCCACGGATGGACTGATCTTCCAGGAACTCATCTAATTCTTTTCTGAACCCAGTTACACTTTTGGCCTTCACAACATCCCCTGGCAACGAGTTCCACAGGTTGACGGTACGTTGTGGGAAGAAGGGCTTCCTTACGTTTGTTTTAAACCCGCTGCCTGTTAATTTCAGTGGGAGACCGCTGGTTGTCGTGTTATGTGAAGGGGTAAATAACAGTTCCCTGCTCGTTTTCTCCACCACACCACTCGTGATTTTCCAGCCCTGTGTCATACCCTCCCCACCCCCAGTCGTCTCTTTTCTAAGCCGAACAGTCCCCGTCTTTTGCATCTCCCCTCCTAAGGCAGCTGTGCCTAGGGCAGTCGTGAAAGGATCTGGCCCAAGTGCTTTTATTCTCTTCGCACTCTTTGGGGTGTGTGTGTGTGTGTGTGTGTGTGTGTGTGTGTGTGAGTGTGTGTGTGTGTGTGTGTGTCGGGGATCAGAATCCACTTTCTTTACTGTCCGGCTGCCAAACCTCTTCTCTGGGCAGAGCAGACACTGGCTCAGACAGGGCTGAGAATTCATTGAGGACTTTATAGGGCAGGAGTGTGCCCAGCAGCCCCACTCAGGATCGGGCCCCCCTGGTGGGACGCCAAAGACTTGGCAGAACCGAGGGGGGAGGGGAAAAACTACATCTCCCAGGCACCCCCGCGCCCCGGCGCATGCGCCCAGCAGAGGCCGGACTCGGGAGCCGCGGAACGCTGGCCTTCTTCTCTCCCCCATGGTCGGGTTCGCTTTCCCCCGCGGTCGCTGATTGGCTCGGCCGGACGTCGTTCACCCCCCGCCTCCTGAACGGCCCCTTCCCCTCCCCCCGCCGCCTCCAGGCTGCGGGCTGGCGGCGCGGGGCCGGCCGGGTGCATGGGGCAGGCGAGCCCGCTGCCTGGCTGGCGTGGCAGGGAGCCCGGCGGCGAGCGCCCAGCCCGGCACGATGATGAAGTTTCGGTTCCGGAGGCAGGGGCACGACCCCCAGCGGGAGAAGCTCAAGCTGGATCTCTTCGCCTTCAACAAGGTGGGTGGGCGCGGCGCCCCCCCCGCCCCCCCCCGAGCGGTTCCTGGGGGGCTCGGGGCTGCAGTCCGGGGCGTGGGGGTGCAGGGAGCCCGTGCCGAGCCTGAGCCAGCAGCCCCCCCATCCCCTGCTGTTGGGGGGCGCTCGGGGGGGGCTGCCGGGGCGCGGGGGGGCTGCAGAGGGGTCGGGCTGGCGGGGATCCGAGCGCATTGCACAGCCAGGGCCGGGGCCGGGGGCCGCTTGCCCTGCGCTCCCGCGCCCTCTCCCCCGGCTCGGGCTGAGCCGGGCGCTGTTGTGATGCTGTTGGCTGCATTTGCTCCTCTCTCGGGGCGTTTGTCATCGCTTCACTTTTCCTGCAGGCCGGCGTGGGGGGGGGCCCGGGCTGGAGTTTGTTGCAAGAGCGTTTTTCTTGCAGCGTTGCGGGGCTGCTTGAGACTGGGCAGGGGACGCAACGTGCCTGGTTTTTCCTGTGGGCGCCGCTGAATTTCGGGTGCAGGGAAATCCCACGTCGGTTCCAAAAGCTGAGCCCCCCCCCCTCCCAGTTGTGCATCTCTTCCCCGGGCCATCCATCCCTCCATCCCCCTTGCAGGCGTCAGTCTCTGCATGTGTCTTGCACGCTCAAGCGAAACAATAGGTGTATGTTGGCCGCTCGAGGAATACTCAATCTCCAGCGAGCAGACTTACAGGAAAACAGGCCAGCCTGGTGCGGGTAGGGCTCCGGCTTGAAACAGTTCGTTTTCACTTACTCCTGTCCTCAGACGTGGTCTGGAAACAGGCTCAGGGTTTTTTTTTTTTTTTTGTATGGGAGGAAATGGAGCTGAAAGGTAGATCAGCACCTGAGTTTTATTCTGGTGCAGAGGCTGATAAGTGGCCTGGCTTTTGGCGGTGAAACTCTGCAGCAAGTTCTGATGCATCTCCGCAAAGGGGGCTTTAAAATGCCGAATTCCCTTCTGAGCGGTGTGCTCCCTTCCCCTTTGAAGGGGCAGAGCTGTGTCCCTTTGATTTATAGCCCTTTTCATCCTGGACTTTTGTCTCTTTATTGTGCAGGCTTAATAAGCCTGCTGGGATCTTGACATTAACCTGGTAAGTGACTGGTGGGGGGAATGATACAGAAGAAGACCAGGGATCCCAGGAGGGGGGCGGCGCTCCGTGGACAAATGCGTGCGCTCTCTCCCTGAAAATACTGACATTCTGTTCCTTCCTTTACGGCCAAACGGGACTCCGCGGTCCTTGGCCTCCTGGCCACAAACACATTTTGTCAGGCAGCCAGAAGCGGCCTCGGTAGAAATGCTGTAAATGTGGCTGCACTTTTGCTTTTGCATCTCTCACTGGGTCGCTTTAGGGGCTCCCCATGCTCTCCGATCTGGGAAGTGGAGGGATCCCCTCCCTTGTGCTACACACATCTCCACTTCCGATCGGCACCCCCTCGGCACAGCTGTGTGCTCTGGGTTTTTTTTTATGAAGATAAATAAAATCTTCTCGCTCGGTTGGAGTCCATCCCGAATGAGTGCATCAAAGGTTGATGCTTTTTCAGTCCTGCCACTTGCACACTAGAGGGGAGGGATAGCTCAGTGGTTTGAGCATTGGCCTGCTAAACCCAGCATTGTGAGTTCAATCCTTGAGGGGGTCATTTGGGGATTTAGTTGGGGATTGGCCCTGCTTTGAGCAGGGGGTTGGACTAGATGACCTCCTGAGGTCCCTTCCAACCCTGATATTCTATGAAGGGAGGTCAGTTCCACCTTATCGCTTGTTTAGCTTGGAAGCCAATGTGGCATGATCCTGCTGTAGGAGCCTTACTTGCTTTGTGCAAACATCCGTGCTTGTGGCTTGACAGGCTGTGGGATACTTGCAGGAAGAATGCCTGCTGCTATACTGCCGTGGAGTTGTAGGTCACAACTGGCAGTTCTGACCCGATGACTTTGTCTGGCCGTCTCTTCCCAGCCTTGCTCTGTTCCCTAGTGCTTGTCCTTCGGTGTCTCATGGATTGCAGTAATATTGAAGTAGAGAGCAGGGCCCCACTGTGCAGTCCCGGCCCCAGAGAGCTTGCAGGGCGAGTGGAAAGGGGAAGCCAGCGGAAAGGTGATGACTTGCCCACTGGCCCGCAGCAGGTCAGTGGCTGAGTTGGGGAATAGAACCCAGGACTTGAGTCCCGGTCCGGAGCTCTGTCCACTTCCCATGGGCCTCGGAGCTCTTGTGTGTGTTGTCTGTATGTTTCACAGGACTCCCAGTTGCCCCATAAGGGAGGTAGAGCTGGACCTTAGTGGTGACGATTTTTCCTTGAAAAGCTCATAGTGGGTCTGAAATGGGGATAAAACACCCCTGTCTTGGGGCTTGTCCTGTAGGGTTCTGTAGGGTTGTGGAGGTTTTGCCCACCTTCTCTCGTGGTGTTAATCTGTTCCCAAAGCGAAGCTGGAACTTGCCTAACAAAATATGGGATGTGAGAAAGCAAGCTCTGGGGACCCACAAACCATGAGGTGCCTAAATGGCCAGCCCCCCCCCCCATGCTTGGTGGCCCCACACTTCCCATGTCAGGCTGTGTGGCTGTACTGCTGGCTTAGCACACTAGGGCTGTATGTGAATTTAGGTGGCTTTGGAGAGGTGGCTCAAGAACAGCCTGCTTGGGGAGCCTGAAATTTCTAAAGCCATCCGTGGCTGGGGCTCCTAATCTAACTGGAGACCAGGATTCAAAGGGGTGTAGTGATGCAGACGTCTTCCAAATCAGCCAGCTGTGTGTTTTGGGCTCGGGAATGTTACTAGCACTTGAGTCCTGTAGCCAATTTGTTGGCTGTTCCTGTCTTTGCTAAAGCTCCCTCCTTAATATGTGGGTCTCCCCAGTGGGGCTGGGGACAAAGCCCTGAAGGATTCTGGGTCTTGCGCTACCTTTGATCTGCAGTGGATTTCCCATTGATGTCAGGTAGGAAAAATGAGCTGTGTGTGGAGGCTTTTAAGTCTGCATTTGAAATGTACAGTGACTGTGATCGCATAATCTCCTCCTCTAGTTGTGCTAGGGAATTAGACAGTCTTCCATTAATCTCCTGGGCAGAAAGAATGGACCACTCCCCTAGCAGCTAACTACATTTGATGGGATTGGCACGCAGCTCGGTTCTGGGACATAGCCTGGATAACTCTGGCAACTGGTGGGGTGCCAGGCTCGGAACCTTCCGGTCTCTTCTGCAGCCTGCCAGAAGCCGTTTCCTTTGCTACCTTCACCTCAGCGAGCAGCTGTGCTTTACGATGACTAGCCTGCCCCCAGAGGAGCGAAATGCTGGACGCCCATTGACTTGCAATTGGGTTTTCCATCTGCCTTGAGTGAAGGATCCGGAGGGAGTGGCGGTCGACGGCAGCTCAGGAAAGAGGCAAAGCTCCACTCTGCGTGATGCTCCGGCATGTGGGGATGTCTCTAAATGGCCAGGAGCATGGCTATCAATGAGACCAGCTTAGTTGATCTGGGGTGGGCGTGGCCAGCGTTATAACTGGCAGGCCCGTTGTGCTCCGTGTTCAATATGGGGAGCGTGACCATGAAGCTGAGCGTGGTCTGAACCGATAGTGTCTCCTGTTGTGGTGCTTCATGCTGACAGTTGTGAGCAAATATTGGTTTGATCCATTCCTGTTCGCAGAGGCAGGCTTAATGGTCTGTGTGCCTGGAGCTAGCTATAGAATTCCGATGCCAGCAGGAAGCTAACGGAGACGGTATAGATTCAGATTTCATAACCAGATGCACAATGGCCATCTCTCGTGCACTGGCTGTGGTAGCTCTTGTATTTGCAAGGAATTGGGTTAGATCTGCCAGGGTCTCTGCCAGATCATCGTGATCAAGGATGGAATACTCACTGATTGCTTTAGACGCTGCATTGTCCATGTCAGAAATGGGTCAGCCCAGCCTCTCTGCCTCTGCAGACCTGGGGACAGTTTTGGCTGCAGCTGAAAACCAGTCTGGCCTGGATACCTGTCCCAATTGCACAGCGACCTCCCTAAAGGGTAGCCTCTGCTACAGAAGCCAGGAAATGCTGTGGTTCAAATGCAGGGCAGAGCTGTGTACAAGAAGCTCTGTGGCCAGTGCAGTTGGTCTCTTGGTGTGCTAACTGCCTTCTCGTCCAGGGCCTGATCGCATGAGGTAGGATGTTCTCTCCATCCCAACTGAAGCGTAGGCAAGGGCTCTGTACCTTGCAGGACTGGGATCTGAATTACTCACGTGATGGTCTGTGATGTCCTGAACTTTGATCAGTCTTTGAGGGTACAGACGTCTACTTCACCTGTGCATGGAGCCCCGTTAGTCGCCTCTCCAAGCAGATTAAGCTACAAACCCTAGGGGGTCACTTCATGGTTAGGGTTTTGAACTGGATTAAGGGCTGCGAAATCCTGTCTGAGAGTTACAACCTGCAGATCTGCCCCTCATTCAGGCTGTCTCCTTCCTGAGGCTCCTTGCGAGTTCTGGGCTTAAAAAGGGAAGAAGGGCTGTCAGCGTTCCCAATCGTTCCTCTAGGGGCTGGGCCCAGAGCATTAGAGATAAAGGCCTGGACTGATCAATGCTTGCAGACATCTGCAAAGGAATCCAGATGGCTCCGAGGCCGAGCTTGGGCACCCATCCTAAACCGTTTGGACAATCAGTGAGCTTATATCGTCCCCTCCCGCAGCCCTGACATCAGTTTGTGTTTACAGAACCTTTGTATTCACAGTATCAGAGGGGTAGCCGTGTTAGTCTGAGTCTGTAAAAAGCAACAGAGGGTCCTGTGGCACCTTTGTATTCACAGTAAGGCTGCAGATGGGAATAATTCCAACTCTGGCCCTGGAGCAGCTGCACCAGTGCAGGCAAGGACGGGAACGGGGCTGCACTGGAAGAGTTACGTGAGGTTTACTCTCACTTGGAATTGAGGCAAATGCCAGTGGCTCAGTTGGAGCAAACAACTGTAGCGCAGCGGCCCTGTGTAGTGTGGCCATGTGCCTTGCCCATGCTATAGGCAGGCCTCTGTAATCGGTGACACGGGACCTGATCCTGCAGACGA